GTATTTTAGTTTAATATAGTTTGAAACCTAGTAATTTCCATCGAAGTTTACATATATCAGTGTTGGGCAGTTCAACATTTTCTGAAAGCAGTTGGATTCGCTTGAAACCCCCCGGGCGAGGAAAGATTCCGTTTGTTGTTAGAAATTTGTAATATAGAAAGTACCGTCTATGTGTTATACCGTGTGTGAGGTATCGATAGCGCATAGATTATTCGACAGCACCCACTCAACCGCCCGTGTTGCATCTGCCAATATGCACAAACCTGATCAGTATAAACAATCATTGCAATCTGATTGTACTTGCATCACTGATCTAAAACTTACTTTTCTCAGAACAGTTAAGATTAGCTACACCTCTTGGAAAGTGGTATCGTAGTATAGGGAAGCGAGAAAAGTAGGTGCGATACACATACCCTTATGATCTGTGTGTATAACCTTGGGCTGATATATTTTATCATCGTGAGTGTTGCATAGCACTTCGATAGGCCGTTTGTCTATATAACAAAAAAATATATCAAACATGTCAATCAACTAAAAACATAAATAAAAATTGGAAAAACTCAACGAATCCACTATCGGTATCACAAACAATTCTTACGTGTATGTACTTTCACATTACCCCAGTAGTGTTCAATGTAGTTACACTCACAATGATACTTGGGATAAAACATACAAAGATATCCAGCCTCATCGCACAATTCTTCTAATAAAGACTTGCATTCTTGAAAATCTGCTTCATGGTGTAAAGTACACTTCATACAATCATTGCAACCTGCTCGTGATCTAGTAGCGTCGTTCATTGCGGTTTTCTTGGAACCTTTGTAAGGACCAGGGCCAGAGTTCATGTTTTCTACTTTCAGGGCGTCTGGCGCAACACAGGTATGACCTGTGCTGCTATCGAATATGAACTGAACTTGCGTACCAGGATACTTTTTTTACAGATAGGGATCGCTCGTTCCCTCACTTGGCCTCTCGTATCTGTTGGCCATATAACACCTGACCGCAGCCAACGAAACGTATCTGTTCGAATGATGCCCGCTCTATTCTTCTTGACTTCTTCACCATTGTCGGCATACATAAGTTGTGTAACATCTGTAGACGCCTGCATCTTTGACCACGTGTAGCAGAGCACCCTAGTTGTGAGCACCGCACTAAGTACTGGCGAATACTAAATATTCTATCACGTCCTGCATGGGATAACGTTGACTTTCTTCTGTAATTGTCTAGCCTCTTCTCTGCAAGAACTTCTTTACGTAAACTGCATTGTCAGATGGACAGGTACATACGCAATCCAATGAGTCTATATTACCACAAGTACACGTCTCTATATCGCTTTGAGATTGTTCTGCGCCCTCAATTATTGTGTCTTTGCGTGTAAACCCGTACTCTTCTAGTGACTGCATTCGATTCTTTTTAATTGCCATTCGCAATACTCTACGTATGCGCTGTTGCTGTCGCAGAGTACCATTATGTACAGGTCTCCGTACGGCTACGGGAAAGAAACTTTCATCTGTAAGATTTCGGTGTATCGAGGCGATACTAACTTCTTAGAGTAATTAGACGCGTAGGTAAAATCTAAGTATCGCGAAATTCAAAGTAAATAAACGAAATGAGTCTTTTAGTAAAGTTAGGTATGCCTCGTGAAAACAGCAATACTCTGAGGGATTGTGAGGCTAATGTATAATCCTCTCAGTACTGTTTTCGCCGAAGGGATTTTATTTAGTGTTTTGTTGTCGCTCTATTAGAAACTATGGTATGTTTCGTTGGCGCGAATCCGAAAGACGCATAACATCCTATCTTTAGAAAAAAAGAAAAGAAAAGAAAAAAGAAAAAAATACTCCTGATGTATTTAGTTATTGCCTTAACCAATAGCTTGCCACTTATCAAGAATTACCGACTTAGCCTTCATCAGACTGGCACATCTGGTTGGCTGATTGGAGGATAAACTATGTAACGTTAATAGTCCCTAGAAACCTATATTCGGTTGAGCCATCTCGCTACCGAAGTATTCAGATATAAATAGATTTGGAAAGTAGATATAGTTCTATTAGTAGAACTAGACCAAATCTTATGTTTGGTATTTTACCGGAGCCTTTTAATGGCCTTGTCCAAATATCTGATATGTAAAATGGAAAAGGTATTAATTAATAAAACCGTTTAAACCCAATTAGGAAACTTAAGTTCCTCGTACTATTAAGAGTACGTTTATAATTTACGTACTGCTTAAGAGTACGTTTATAACATAGTCTAATGTGGAGGCCCGGCTATTACACATCGATATCCATCTCGGAAATAGATTCAGAACTGCTTATAGAGCTAGAATCCATTGTATAATTACATATAGCTACCTTACGTACGGGCCGTGGTGCGTCACCATCTGATGCATCGATTGTTGTAGTTACTCTACATTTTCTTGATGAATCTGAATTTCGGAACTTACTACTCTTTGATATTTTAAGTGTAACTGCCTTTGAACCGAATCGACTATTGTATCTGTGTGTCTGTGTACGTACCTGCTGCTTTTGGGTGTCTTGTGCTCTTCACCATCTGGTGTCGAAGAATCTGATGTCAAAGATGGATCGTAGTTCTTATCTTTGCCATCAGCGATCTTGTTTTGACTTGTGAATTGTCCTGTATCGTCCGTTATGATCTTGTCGTTGAAAATTTTGGATGTTGTTCTGCTTGTCTTACGTGGTCTTCTCATTGTCCTGAGCACTACGTATATGTTACTATAAGTTTATAGTTAGTGTACGTGTACATATACTGTGTGTATAGGGTTTTAGTATAGTCAATATAGTGATCCAAAAGTCCCGGATTGAGAAACGACTTTTTGGTCAAACCCTGTTTTTTTATAAGGTCGATTTCAAAATTTTATCCGTTGATTATATCTCCCCTACTCATATAGAGCCCAAATTCGTCGAGATAATCGATTTTGGGTTAATATCAAAAATAAAAGAATTATGTTGCGACCCATACAAACTAGTACCCGGGAGCGACCTGGTTTTTACTGCTGTGCAACATAGGAGACAAAATTCGTCGCTCGCTGATTAACAGTATGTAAAAGGTCACATATTTTTCCGTTAAAGGGGGTGTGGCGTCATTTACGTACTAATAGTCTCGAGTAAAATTTATATATATATATAAACGTTAAAAAATGCACCTATGTTCCTCCTGTGAAAACGAAAGTGCAACTTTCAAGGCACATCGGCCCTTTTTCAACTTAATATTATACTTTAATGTCAAATGGCTATATTCGTTTAGACTCGCTCTCAAGCATGCTTGCCCAGTCTCCGGGTGAGGGAAGGTGCATCCTGCACCGAAATTTCGCCAGGCAACACAACCTGGGGGCCCCAGAAAATAAATTGGGGGTTTCTTTTTCGGACTTTGGTTCGGGACTGAGTCAATCAGACGGGGTCTGGAAAACTTTCAGATTTCCGTCTTTATTTTTACATTGGTGACATTGGGGTAATTTAAATGGCGTTTTAGAGTTTAAAGATATGTCAAAAGGTTCTTGCTGAAAATAAAATATAGGGAAGTGAAAATAAAATATGGGGAAGTGTAAATAATATATACGAAATGATAAATAAAATATCTCCGAAGAAATCAGTACTGGGCGGATCCATATAGGCAAGATCTCAGCTTTTTAATCCCCCGTAGTGTTGCTATTTTCACGAGGCATAACCTAACTTTATTATTGGACTACTCTCGTTTAATTCACTTTTTTTATATAAACTCTAAGATACTTCAATACTTTCCAGCTTTAAGAAGTTAATATCTGCTTAAGAATCCGATCTTTACAAACTGGGATGCATTTCGTTGACTCCTTTGAATTATTGGCAATTTCAGATTTTGCTTACGTCACTTGACATTCCCGCCTCCCACACACTTGTGACATACCACCACCTAACTTACCCCGTATAATACCCTGCCATCGCGAGGCCAGCACTCACTTTGGTCCAAACTGACAGACTACAGGAGTAGACGTATTTCTAAATACGTAAATAATGTTTTCCGCCGTCAGCCCGAGAGTAATTTGGACTTGTTCTCAAATTAATATATGTATTGGTGGGTAAGTCAGATTATTCTATTGGCCACCAGCCGAGAGCCGATGTCCGAGACTGAGAGCACGTATCAAAAAAATGTGATATATTTATTTCTAAAAATATAACAGGGTACCAAAGTGTTCTGCATAAGGTTTCTCATACTCATCATATGAGCTTTTACCCCGGCCAACCCAAGCGGTTGAACACCAGTACAAACACCATCAGCTTATAACTGAGAGTGAGATTATAGATAAATTCATTCGAACGCACCATTCTTTAGATATATTTGCACTTATTTAAAGTCTACTACATTACACTCTAACAAAAAAATCACCTGACAAGACTACATTCAATACAAAATGGGTTTTTGTTGAAAAACGGAACGACAACGGAATTACAGTTGGACTGAAGAGCCGACTCACCGTTGCCGCCTGGTCCACCATTCAAGGAGCGGACTATACTCGTTGTTGTGCGCTAGCTGTCAACAAAGACGCCTCATACGAATATGACCGTCCGCCAGTACGACACGCCAAATGCTTACCTGACCAGCGGGCTCGAAGAGCCAGTGTATATGCGTGCACCCAAAGGCTACCATCTACTAAACCAACATCTTTCCCTAGTTCAACAAAAATTACTGAAACGGAAACAAAACCGTCTTATGCAAAGTATCAAGGCACTATATGGCTTACCCTAATCCGATGAGCTATGGTATCAACAGTTCCGCTCTGAATACAATTGTGACAACAACAACAGTACCCAATATACTTAATCAGATAATCACTGCGATCAGACACAAAATATGTCGAAAAGAGACACAACAGACACTTCAGTTTTTTTTTGGTATACTGGTGGAGTCGATTTCCACTTAAGAAAAGTTCATCAATGCTGATGAGGTTCTGCGCATCAGCGAGGCAAAAACTGTAGTTGTCAACAAAATGAAGATCATGACTAAACCAGACTTCGACTACGATAAGTATACCAAAGAAGAAACACCACAAACTGCATCTTCCGTAGTGAAGCTTTTTTTAAAACAGCAAAGCCGCTATTGAAGGAGACCCTACTAGGAACTATCGCCAGAGGGACTTATCTTCCAAACGAAGTGCTGCCAAAACACTGTAACGAAGGAACCTATAATTCAATATTGAAACCGTTTACTTTGCTCCAGAAAATTGTTGCTGAGCAGTGCAATCGGATGGTAACGGCAAATGTAGCTGAATGTAATACAACATCAAATCTGCGAATCTACAAAAGAAGGAAATGACCTATCATAGAATTTGCTTATCATACAAAAATGGTCGAGTTCTTCATTGACAGTTTACTCACGACAACCAACAATGACGAGGTAATGAATAGAAAACACTCTGTTGGATCATTTGTACATTTGGACGAAAAGTTTGATTACCAGTTAAAAGCCAATGCGAAGGCTATCACTCAAGCCATGACATCACAATGGGACACCGCAGATAGGGGCTAGCCCGGTTAGTGTCTCAAACTGAAAAGTTAATTTGGATGTCCAGAGTTAGGTCAGTATACAACAGGGCCAGTACACACCAGATCTCCTTGAACAATTCGACATATGCTACTGGAATGCAATGCATCTCGGGCTCCTTGCATTGGAACCGAATATTAATGACAACTCAACTGATGTCAAAGATTATCAATACATTGTAAGATGCTTACGATACCTAGCACGCCGAGGTTACGCGGCCGGATATATCACTCATAGCTGTCCTACTCGGACGCTATTAAATCGCACCGATTGAAAGCCACTTACAAGCCACCAAACGAGATTTGCGATACTTGTCAGGAACAAGCAAACTGGGTATCACATATAGTAAGGACATACATTTCACGCCTAACTTTCAGTTGACAGTGACCACACTTCCAACTAAGATAATACCAAATCTACAACATGGAAGATTGCCCACAATCGCATACTGTTACAACTGAATAGGTAAATGGTTTAGAGCACTTTCTACTGCATAGATGTAGAAGTCTAAGTTTTATCTTTTCTATTCATCCTTGAAAGTATATATCTCAGAAAGCTGAATACGTCTGGCTTTCGAGAATAGTTCATTTCAAATCGACCCTTTGGTGAATTGTTTTGTAACTTTAGACAAACTATTGGTTTTTTTTGTTATAGTCTTGAGTTGATTGGTTTTCCAGTTATCCAGGGCAATTTATACACTTTCTTATCCGATATATTTTGTCAGTTGTTATTTCAGGTAAGACAACAGTTCTTTCTTTTTGAAATAGTGAAATCATTTCGGTCATGAATTTCTATATATTTAATTCCTTTTTATTCGAGTCCGCGCAACACCGACCTTAGCCTTAAATAGATTGTCAGTATTGCCTTCCTCCCTGTTTGTATCGTTTCAGCTGGGGATTAACGTCTACCGAGAACAACAGCTTGTCGATACTGAAATAGAAGATGAGGGCAGCTATGAATTGATCACAAACGACGCAGACCACAACTTGATGATAACCTGTTCGAGGGTGATTTTGAAGCAGATGATGACGGCATAGACTCGGTCTATCAAGGCGATATTAACGCCTTAGAGTAATTAAACGCGTAGGTTAAGTCTAAGTATCGTGAAATTCGAAGTAAATGAACGAAATGAGTCTTTTGATAAAGTTAGGTATACCTCGTGAAAACAGCAATACTTTGAGGTATTGTGAGGCCGAGACATTGCCTATATATAATCCTCTCAGTACTGTTTTCGCCGAAGGGATTTTATTTAGTGTTTCGTTGTCGCTCTATTAGAAACTATGGTATGTTTCGTTGGGGCGAATCCGAAAGACTCATAAAATCCGATCTTTAGAAAAAAAGAAAAGAAAAGAAAAGAAAAATTATTGATGTCCATAGTTAGTGCATTAACCAATAACTTGCCACTTATCAAGAATCAACGACTTAGCCTTCATCAGACTGGCACATCTGGTTGGCTGAACGGAGGTTAAACTAGGTAACGCTAATAGTCCCTAGAAACCTATATTCGGTTGAGCCATCTCGCTACCGAAGTATTCAGATATAAATAGATTTGGAAAGTAGATATAGTTCTATTAATAGAACTAGACCAAATCTTATGTTTGGTATTTTACCGGAGCCTTTTAATGGCCTTGTCCAAATATCTGATATGTAAAATGGAGAAGGTATTAATTAATAAAACCGTTAAAACCCAATTAGGAAACTTAAGTTCCTCGTACTATTAAGAATACGTTTATAATTTACGTACTGCTTAAGAGTACGTTTACAACATAGAGTCTAATGTGGAAGCCCGGCTATTACACGGGCAGCTATGGATTGATCACAAACGACGCAGACCCACCACTTGATGATAACCTGTTCGAGGATGATTTTGAAGCCGACGGTGACGGCATAGGGAACTCTGACGAATCTCAGGAATATGCTGATGATTGTTTTATCACTACCAGTGCCCGAATGAGTGTGGGCACAACCTGCTGTCGAATGGCTACGCAGCGAGAGCAATACAGATTCTCAGAAGCACGGAGTATATCATTTACAATAGATACGTACGTGCTGCATGCAAAGGGGAAAACAAACAGAACAACAAAAGGGACACGAGCCGTAGACAATATTACTTTAGAGGAACAGTCCCACATATTACAAAACAACTCCCTGGCTAACTACAGGAAACCATCCCGTGGCTGAGATCTGGGGAGAAGGAGCAAAGGAGTATAAAATGTTTACCTGGTCACCATACCCCTATTAAGACGATGGTGTTGCGCATACCATTACAATGCAGACCAAGGACATTCGATTCTATGGTGCATTCTAAGTTGTTTAGTAGCTACATACGGCAACAGGAAGATTGTATGAAGTTCTGCCTATCCAAAGTCGAAGGACAGATATTCAAATTCGATGTATACTACAAGACAACACGTGGTGTGTATGAATACAACGAGTGCTCCGTGTTGGGTTTAGGTACACTGATGCAAGAGCTAGGTATGATTGTATGTAGTCATCCCGTATTTCAAGAGAGCAAATAATTCATACAGCCAATGTATCGGCAGTATGTGGAGCAGTGTGCCGAAAATGGCTGGAAGAAACCAATTTTCCTGTATTCGGATCAGTGTTGCAAAACTAAGGATTTCGAGGCGTTTATAGATTTGATACCGGTAAATCAGCCTCATACAAAGAAATATCCCAATTTAAAACTAGCTGATTGCAACTTGGAAGTAAGTAATACCCAATACATATGCAATAACCAGGAGTCTGAGCTTGCAGTACTCAAAATTGTAGATTATATCCGCGATGGTGCGACGATCGTGTGTGACACAGAATGTACTCCAGCTCCAAAAAGCTTGTGCACATGTCAGTGGCGGAAAGGAAAGCACATCGGATAGCTTTAATTCAGATAGATGTTCTACTTTCATTTGCACGGCTTGTGCACGGAAACCCGGTTCAGGATTAACGAGCCTACTATGCAATCCAAGGTCGAGAGATAATACATCGGTACATGGCAAGAGTCTACTTTATGGCGTTCATATCAACGGTGATGCTACAAAGTTTGAAACCGATTTTGGATCACGACTCGATGATACACTGGAGCTCACCACATACGCCAAAATCATTGGATTTGTGCCTAATACACAGCGCATGATGAGCCTTACTAACATATGCATCCATACCTTAGGTAAAACTATACCCAAGCCAGACAACATAAGGCTGGGTGATCGGGCTCAGCGTTGTGATCTGAATAAAGACCAAAAAAAATATGCAACAATCGATGTTCTGTCAGTGCTGCGTATATTATCGAGTTCGGGAATACGCTACGTAAAAAGGCGTGTTCTGTCGGCGACACTAGAATGGTGAAAACAATGGATAACGAGGTAGTGTGCAAAGGAGTGGTATAATTTCAGGATGCTGACGATACAATTTCTTATATTGTAAGCCCTAACAAGACAAAAAGCTTTCAACAATACGGTACTAAATGCTCACAAATATATCCGCATAGATGTACCGTCTAGTCATCATTATTAAACTCATCATCATCGGCATCCTTTACAACTTCTTCGCAGATTATTTCAAGAGTATTTCGTAACCAGAAGTGGCATGCTCTGCTCTCATTGGAGGAGATAATCCAGCGATACCCGTCTTCATCATTATCAAAAGTAGTGGTTGTCAACAGAGAAAACATGAAAAGTATGAATATATCAAACCAATCATTGAGAACAAAAACAACAAATATATCGAGGCGCTTAAGCAATTATGAATAACTGATCATGAAGTCAAGTCCACACCGTTTACAGACTATGTTTGTAAATTTCTGAATCATTTGACGAAAAGCAAATTTACCGCGGAAGCATTGGTTAATTATTTTACGACGACCCAATTTCCGATATTTTAAAAATACTGACACCCATAGAAGAAGAAATGCTTTCACCAATCAATGGATTTTATAATATAACACTTGCACCCCCTGGATCCGAACTAAATATAAAAAGAGGTTAGTGCATATTCCAATACAAGATAATATTTCTGCGAACAAACTACCAGATTTACCACGAGACATAAATATCTATGTCCAGATACCGCATCACGAATAATCAAAATCTATTGTCAACGCCCATTTTTTATATTTGAATTGCTATTGGTGCTACAGGGCAATGAAAAACACCAATAAAAGTGCTTTGCATTACGAACACAGCGCGAGCCCTACCTCCCCCGTACGACTACTAAAATGCACTCAAAGCGTGTACGCACTATAAGGCAACCCATAGTAGTGTACAAACCCTAGTATTAAACACTGTACACTGATGCATACACTCTTACATCATCTCAGTAAAGCTATATACCGTGTGCTGTGGTTCATTGCACTCAATGTGTGATCTTTAGCTTCTTAGACTAGTATTGGAAGTGTACATGTACCATTTGTGTTCATGGTGTGCAATTTCATGAGTCACAGAATTGCATGCAGTTACGGTCTCCGATCTTTACGTAGTATGTTACGTATCAAAATAATATGCAATAGTCTCTACAATTGAGGAGTCAACAGCGTTTAAATGAGTGATTATTACCTTATTAGTGTAATGGTAAGCGTGTAAGTGCACACATTAACTTTTGTAGGTGAACAATCTGAGTCATGGAATTGCATGTATTTGTGGAGCCCGATTGTTACATAGTATGTAGTGTAGTAAATGATATAGAGGATCTTCACGTAGTATGTATCATAGTAAATAGTATAACGAGTAAGAAGAGACTCAGTGCTAGAGTTATCAGCCGAAGAATCGCTTTGACATCGCCGGTATAACTAAGGTATTCCTTTGAAAGTGCGACATACATTAAATGTTTTTGGGCACAACTTACATCGCTTCAATGCACGAGTTTGGAGTGCAATTGAAGTAGGACACCGTGCCACGTCATACGGTACTGTAAAAGAATGACGTGTAACTGCTGCTATTTCCGTGATTTGGGTAATAGAAGTCTCCGGCTGTGCAGGTTTGGTCTTTATTCACTGATGTGAGCTGGTGCTTGATGTTGTTCTTGACGTTCTTGTGTATTATAGTCTAGGTGTTTTTGCCGTGCAAAAATATGTAAGCGTCGTGCGATTGCTGGGCGAGCTGTCTCTGGGGCTGAGTATCTTCTTGCTCGCGTCGGCGTTCTACCTCCTTCCTCACCCTGCCCTCCTCCGCTTTGCGCTTAGCCTCGATTCCCTCTGGATGGGTGATTGTACGCAAAGTTTTAGCTGTTTCCACCAGTACGAGGAACTCACAGGTATGTTTGTGTGTGCTGACTATTTTGAGTGTTGAAAAGCCGATACACTGTTTTTGGCCCGGACCAAATGTAGCTTTCAGTACTGATGCAACGCTACTGTACACACTATTGCACGTCTCTGCCGTGTACATATATCTCCTAGCCCAGATAGTTTCACATCGATTAGATAGCATCTGCTGTGCTTTCTCCGCAGAAAATAGGGGGTACCGAACCTAAAATTTCACCAGTTCACAGGGGTAGATTAACTTGTCAGTTAGATTAACTTCCATGATAATAAAGATACGCTACTGCTTCCCTCGAAGAAGTTGCTCATCTTCAACTTAAGGCTATTGTCCCGCTCTTCCTTTTAATGTACGACCAATAGCAATTTTTAACTACAGACTTAGCCGTTTTGTAATTTTGTTAGGCGAGTGTTAAAGTGCAATGTAGTAGACTTAAATAAAGTGCAAATGTATATATTTATTTCTGACCTCGCCTTTGGTTTTATACCTAAGGTGTTTGTGCTAGTGTTCAGCCGCTTGGGCTGGCCAGGGTAAAAACTCATATGGTCAGTATGAGAAACCTTATGCGGAACACTTTAACACTTCGATGCTTTTCCATTTCAACTTCTCTGCAACTAAATCTCACGCTGATCCCATGATGCCTTTCTGTATAGGTTGTGACTCACATAGAATCGCAGCTAATAATAATATGTTGCGGTTGACAGGTTTAATCCACTCTCGGGAATCGGTTGAGAAACTTAATCTTCTCTCGGAAGTCAGTTAAGTAATAACTCAACTCTTGAGAGTAATATGAGCAACTTGATTAGCTCTCGGGAGTGAGCTAACTCTGATGACTTAGCTCTCGGGAGTGAGCTAACTCTGACGATTTCCATAAATCAAAGATTGTTTCTTGCTGTAAAATCTGGCCTGAGACCTGTAGTCTCTCACCCCCCCTCAATTTTACAATCAACAAGGTCACAACAAGGTCACATGAAGTCTGATGGCTGAAAATTGGAAACTGAAGACTAATGAAAGCTGAAGACCAAAAACCTGGATTGTGAAATTGTTGACTCCGTAGATGGATTGGGCGATAAGCGTTGAAACAATGTATATTATTTGTCGAAGACGTTTACGAATTGGTGCTGTTGAGTATTGTCTCGATGAAAATTGTTGAAAACGTTGAATTTTTTGAAGAGTAGACGATCTCCTGTACAGTGACAGGCTTCACGACTGACGTGGATAATCTTTTGTACGCGGACAGGCATCACAATTTCGCAGGTAAAAATACTCGAGATTTTCTTGAAAAATGCATTTTGCTATCTGAATAGGTCGGTGTGGACTGTGGCGTGGATGCTGGGGGACAGCTCACTTCTGCAATGTGGCATATTGGTTTGACTTTGGGATGTGGCCTGAGAGGCTGAGACTCGGAGACTGTGAGGCTAGATTTTCTCTTAAGTCTTGGAATGTGCGGCTCTTATGCTGCGGTCTGGCTACTATCCTTAGACAGTGTGAAGTTGTGGTCCATGTAGGGCCTGTGGGCTGCGAAATTCACAATTCTGTTTGTATCCTGCGAGTGAATTTCTATACAAATTGTCACAGGTATGCATCTTTTACGATATCACGCATAGAATCTAAAAAGAACCAGTAAGCTACTAATATTAAGTGTATCGATGGATACAAATTGTCTGCGGGATTCAACTTTGACTTCAGAGTATTTTATGTCAAAACACAGTCGCACAAGGAAATACTTGGGTGTTTATCGATAGGAACAATTATATGAACAAATATATAGTTATATATTGCGTGTACATTATTTATAATTTCATTTTTACATATAATACAAAACGTTTATACACACTTTTTTTTACAAGGTACGACATATCTGTATATTTTGCAGTCAGAGATAGAAGCACAAAGCATTTGACACCTGCTTACCTTGAAATACTTACCTTTATTATAAATTGAACTATGTTGATATTGGCATCCGAGTCATTAGTTTGTCACATATGTCGGTAAACTTCTTTTGGCTGAGTGGCCTCGTGAAGAAATCACGGAGTAGCTGTTCTGATGATGTATTTTAGCTTGATGGTGTTGTTCGATGTGAGTTCCCTGATGTGATGATATATTTTGTGCGGCGAGATTTCGTGATACCATTCCTCATCAGTATTGCCGACTTGTTGTCTTGTTCTATGGTGGTGGGTTCTACGAGCGGAATGCCGAATTCTGTGAAGAGATTCCTAGCCCATACTGCGCCTTTGACTGTATTAGATTGTGCTACGTATTCTGCCTCTGCTGTAGACGTTGTTACTAGTCGTTGCAAGTTTGTTCCCCATATGAATGGTGCACCTGCTATAATGCCCACTCGCCCGGTGGTGGATCATCTTGTTGCGTCATCGCTAGCAAAGCTATTGTCTGCACTCAGATAGGGAATACATGGTTCTTTGTTTGTGTATTCAAGTCCGAAGTCCTGAGTACCAGCGAGATACTCCAAACAGCGCTTGGCACGTCTGAAGTGGTGGTACTGAGGTGCTATCAGATAACGACTTAGGATCGAAACTGCAAAGCATATATCCACTCGTGTTTGATCTACAAGGTATCGTAGCTGACCCACTAGCTTGTTGTATTGTGTGATTGTTGGGACGTCTGAGCTTGCCTTTTCTGGTAGATATGCATGCTTGTATGTTACTTCATAGTCCGATTCTAGGATTGGCACCCATGCTGGTTTGCAATCTATCAACCCCCATTCCTGCAATATTTCTCTTAGGTATTGTCGTTGATGGAGACGTACTCTTCCAGGGTGTATTTCCACTTGGCACTTGAGAAACCATAACGGTAGGCCCATATCAACAGTGTTCCATTCGCCTTTCATTGCGTCAGCTAGTTTCTGTCCGTCAGTCTTACTCTGGCCTGCTGCAATTTTGTCATCTACGTGTACAATAATGAAACAAGGTCGTACAATAATGAAACAAGGTCCACTGTGTGTTTGTTTAATGAACAGTGCTCCATCCGATTACGCTTGCTTATAACTGTGTTGTATAGCAAACCGATGGATAGCTTTAAAACAGTAGTGTCCGCTAGGTGGTAGACCGTATACGCAACGGTCAACTCGACATGCAACCTTTGTGCCTTTCGTATAGTTTTCTCTGAGTCGGGTCCAATAGATGTTCGATGAGATCGTATCCTTACGGCACTCGTATGTAGATAGGGGTATCCAGTTCTTGAGTGAGGTAGGCCGAGGGTGTATCGTATTGTCGAATGTCCATGTCATAGTGTGCCAGTAGAGCTAGACAGATCCTGAGTGTTTCCTTGGCTACTACTGGGGCATAGCTTTCATCGTAATTGACTCCCTGTTCTGCATTGAGTGCTGCTACGTTCAGACGTGATTTGAGTCGCGTGACTTGTCCTGATTCATTCGTTTTTGCCTTGAAGACCCATCGAGGGGGAAATAATGATTTCTCTCACGGTTTGTTGTCAACCAGAGTGAATGCCTTGCGCTGTATCACCAAGCTCTCCATCTCCGAACGTGCTGATTCCTCCCAATCGGCTGCGTTTGGCATCTCATATATACCTTTGTATGTTTTCGGTTCCATTGCTGCTGTTGCTGAATTGACAGTGTGCGTAGTGCTAAGAATTCGTCTCTTACGGCGGCTATCGTGATACCAGTCGACATTATTATCATCTAACGCAAGGTCCCGCAGTTTATCGAGAGACTTGGTGACCTTCTGCCGTTCTTTTAGCCATGGTTGCTTCGAGATCGTGTTGTGTTTTGGTAGTCGCTGCAGTAGCCTCCGACTCGACGGTATGTACTTCGCTCTCAGCAGGTTGTTGTGTTGACGATGAAGTAATTTGTAGTTGTTCTGAGTTGCTCGACTTGTGCATCACAGTTGGCTGGGCTTGTTGGCTAAGCATATCTTCCGTTATCGATGTTGTCCTTGCGTCTGTTTATAAAACCCCCTTTCTCGATTTGGAGGAATGTACTACTGTTCGTAGTGTCAGGTGGTGCGATAGCGGTTGTACATTTATTGTCTTCCCAAACAATGAATTCATCTTCAAATATATAGACGTCTCGGCTTTGTATTATACGCTTGGTCAGAGGTGAGTATATACGATACGAGTCCGGTGTTGTGTCCAAGGGTTGCGCAAGAAGAATGCCATCCAGTGCGTTGTCGTCGAGTTTGCCGTCTGGATCACGGTTCTTGTATGCGATGTGACACCCGAATATTCTGAACATATCTATCGGAAATGCGTATCCTGTAAACTTCTCGAATGGGGATGTTCTCTTCTCGTTGGTGGGTATAGCATTGTATATGTTCGTAGTTTGAATCAGTGATTCAGCCCACTTAGTAGTCGGTAGACGTGCATACTTCAGTTGTGCAAGCATTCTAGGGACCAGTGTACGATGGAGTCTCTCTACCTTGCCGTGGTATTGTGGCGTGGTCGTAGGTGCGTACCTCGAGCAGTATCCCAAATAAGCAAGCATGCGCCTCGTTACGTTTGCTGGAAACTGTGAGCCTTGATCCATTTGTAAGCACTGAGCTCGGCGATGACTTAAGATGTACCATTCATCGAAGGTGTGCAATATAGCATCCGGAATTGTTGTCGCTTTCAGATCGCGGATCGGATACTCTTTGGCCATGCTAGAAAAATCGTCTATGATTGATACAGAGTGGGTGTTGGATCCTATTGACGCTAAGAACGGTCCTATTATGTCCACGAAGACAAACTCGAGAGGCTCTGTAGCAGATTCGTCCTGTCGTTCCTTGTTTGTATTCTTCTTCTTCTTCTTAGCAATAGTGCATGCTTTACATCGTTCCACTGGTTGCCTTAAGTATGGTAAATCTTTTGGGACGTATCTGGGGTGCACGAGCCTGTTATGCCATCCAATCTGGTTGGCTTTCTCCAGTGATGGTTCCACTGTAGTCATAACTATGTCGTCGATGTGTACACAGTATATTCTGTGCTTTTTATGTACTGTTATGGTTCCGAAGCTTGGTAGTAATATGTACATCATGTTGTTGGTAAATTCAAATAAGTAGTGTCGCGCTGAGAGTAGGCTGATACTTAGTAGTGCAGTTTTAAATATCGTATCAATGAGTAGGTCCCCCAAGTTTCCTAGCTGAGCCACATACTTCGGATAAATGATTGTACCATCAGCTACTTCGAGCGCATACCGGTCGTTAATGCACATGTTGCTGATGAGATGATGTTTGTGGTACTTATATGGAAGTACGTGTATGGTGGCGCAACTATCGCAAGCTATTCAGTGTCCACCTCTGAATCTCTATCTGACTGATCATTCACCTCCTTGTAGTTGATTGTAGGGACAATAGTGGAGAATACAATCTGTCTATTTGTAGGTAGCTGGTCATCAGATACTTGTGCTGACATAGCTTTGTCCTGTCTGCCTTCCCGAGCTTGGCGTCGATTGTTATGGGATCTGTATGTTCTGTCAATGCCTTGTGC